TCGCAGAGGACGGGGAGGACGTTGGAGCGGAAGGTGATCTCCAGCAGACTGTCCTGAGAGCCCGCTGCAAGAGAAGGGCACGGCTGAGAAGCAGGCAGTGCCAACCTGGCTTGCCTGGGTGTCCCCTGGCCACCTGCTGCAGACTGGCCAGAGGAGGATGGTCTGGGGTCATTTGGGTGTCAACCTCCCCACCGCCACCATTTAGAGGGGCTCATTTGGTGTCACTGGTGCCAGGAGCTGCTGCTGGCCAACAAAGAGCCAGTTTTGCAGGATAAAAACTTATCTGTCTCCCATCCCAGCTCCTGCAGGGAGCTGATGGCCACATCTGCTGGAGAGGAAGGTCAAGGAGGGGCTATTGGGCAGGTAAGGAGCTGGCCTAGAGCTTGCAGCCAGTGGGGAAAGCAGACATACAGCTGATGGACGTATGTGACTACCTGTCCATACAGCCCTCCCCATGCCCCTTCCCACGCCGCATGCAAGCACCCTGCCGCACACGCACAAGGCAGGCCAGAGGGGCACTAATACTCCCCTACACAAAACCACTGGAAATGCACAAAAACCCCAAGAGAAACACCCACATGCATGTCCTCCACAGACCCGGCTAGCTGCGAGGGGAGAGGAAGGGGCAGGAGCGCTTACTGGTGGTGTTCCCCGCCAGCTTCAGCTCCAGCTCCTGCACCTGTTTGACCAGGAGCGAGATGTGCTGCAGCAAGTCCTTGTTCTGGAGCAGGAGCTGATGCACGCGAGCTTGGGCCTCCAGCCGTGCCGCCGCCTCAGCGGCCAGCTGGTCCTTCAGCAAGTGGACCTGTGTGACAGGAGAGAGTGGGTCAGCGTGTGGGAGATGCTGCTCGAGCGCTGAGACCTTCAGCTCATCTACCGGGGCTCACCAGCATCCCACCAAATGATTTGATGAAGAAGTCATTCCCTGTGGGTACCAGCAGATGTGATGGGGAGAGCGGGGTCAGGCAGCAGTGTCACACCAGGGCACACTCAGTAAATCCAGCCCATGGTCTCCTGGACTCCTTGATGGAAAAGCCTGAGGCGAAGGGAGGCGGCGCTGACCGAACTGTTGGTCACGCACGTGTGCCACCAATGCACAAGGAAAGGGCAGCCCAGGAGGAAGCAGATGGATGCGGAAGAGAAGAGACACTTGACCAACTGGATGGTGCTGCGGGTGCATGAGGGTGCAGCCATGCACCGTGAGCAGGCCCTGGACCAGCTGTCTGTCCGGGCAGGTTTCCCACCCTGCCAGTGGCGTCTGTCACTAGCAGGGGCTGGAGCATCAGAGCTGCCCCAGAGCTGCAGGCGGTTCCAGCTGTGACAGGCACGACACACCTGGAGCAACGCAGATGGCAGAGCGCTGCCGAGCCCTGCCAGTGGCGTCTGTCACTAGCAGGGGCTGGAGCATCAGAGCTGCCCCAGAGCTGCAGGCGGTTCCAGCTGTGACAGGCACGACACACCTGGAGCAACGCAGATGGCAGAGCGCTGCCGAGACATGGTGGCTCTGGGGATGCGAGCTGGCTGCTCATCCTGATCCTGGGAAGCAATGCCTGGACGTTAGCCCACGGGGAGTCCATGGGCAAGAAGCCCATCGATTTCAGCATAAC